TTGTCCGGGTTGGCCGCCGCGTGTTTCACCGCCCACGTCGTCTTCCCGGCCGCCGGCAGCCCCACCATCATCAGGATCTGAGGTGACAACGGTGACAGGGACGTCCCTTGGGGTCACCTCGGCGTGGGGACACTGCCAGGGCCACCCCAGTGTCCCTGTGTCCCCTCAGAGCCACCCCAGTGTCCCTGTGACCCAGTCCAGCTGTGCCACCATCATCAGGATCTGGGGACACAAGGACATCCTGGGGTCACCTCGGGGTGGGGACACTGCCAGGGCCACCCCCGTGTCCCTGTGTCCCCTCAGAGCCACCCTGGCAGTGCCACCATCATCAGGATCTGTGGTGACAATGGTGACAGGGACATGCCGGGGTCACCTCGGGGTGGGGACACCCCCAAAGCCACCATGGGACACCCCAGGGCCACCCCAGTGTCCCTGTGACCCACCCTGGCAGTGCCACCATGGGGTGACAATGGTGACAGGGACATCCCGGGGTCATCTTGGGGCTGGGCCAGCCTCAGGGCCTTGTCCCCAATGTCCCCAAGATGTCCCCAGCTCACACTCAGCCTTGCTCTTGGGGCCCTGGGTCCCTTGGAGCCACTGTCCCCAATGTCCCCAAGGTGTCCCCAGTGTCCCCAAGGTGTCCCCAATGTCCCCATGATGTCCCCAAGGTGTCCCCGTGTCTCACCTCACACTCAGCCTTGCTCTTTGGGCCCTGGGTCCCTTGGAGCCACTGTCCCCAATGTCCCCATGATGTCCCCAAGGTGTCCCCAAGGTGTCCCCAAGGTGTCCCCAAGGTGTCCCCAGGGTGTCTCACCTCACACTCAGCCTTGCTCTTGGGGCCCTGGGTGCCCGAGCCACTGTCCCCAATGTCCCCAATGTGTCCCCAAGGTGTCCCCAGGGTGTCTCACCTCACACTCAGCCTTGCTCTTGGGGCCCTGCGTGCCCGAGGCACTGTCCCCAAGGTGTCCCCAATGTCCCCATGATGTCCCCAAGGTGTCCCCAGGGTGTCCCCAGGGTGTCTCACCTCACACTCAGCCTTGCTCTTGGGGCCCTGCGTGCCCCTCATCCTGTGGGCCAGGGGCAGGTGCTGGATGAGGGTGAAGCTGGGGGGCAGTGGCCAGAAGGGCTGTGGCCGCTGGCCAAAGTTGAACTCCACGGCGCAGTTCTTGACCAGCACGTGGGGGAAGAGGGCGCGGCCGCCCAGCGCCGCCTTGGGCACGCGGAACGCCACGCCCAGCCAGCGGCCGTTCTTGAGGAACGACAGCTCCACCTCGGGACCCGCCTCGAAATCCTGGCGGAAACCGGGGGAAAACGGTGAAAAACGGGGGGAAACGGGGAAAAACGGGAAAAACG